CTGTGTGAGAAGTAGCGAGAAAGTAGCACAAAATGTTCTTAAGTGTTTCTTGCACCGACTTGCACTAAATCAATTAATCAAAGAAAACAATACCATTCTACCATTAGTGTTGGTTAACTTTTCAATCTTACGGAATCTCATTTAAAGATTGTCCTAATGACAGGCTACCATAAAATTTACAGCTACATTTTCAACGTTCATTAATCTCGTCAACAATGATACACAAGTATAGGAAATAATGAAATTGCGATAAATGCAAATATTTGATTGTAATTCCACATATTCTCATACTGGGAATATCGACTAAAATCTCTGAGTTTGAAGCTCGCCTACGGCATGAATGTTTTGATTTGTGTTCGTAGAATGTGGTACACCTTCTGTATTACACATATGTTTTAATTAGACCATAAACTCGTGGCGTGGAAGGAAACTGTGTGCAATCGAGCAATTATATCCCTGCCCCGAAAACAGTGGTACAAGCAACGTGATGGGGAAAGGATATACCAAGTGCCGAGATGAATAGGTACAGGTCCGAAATAGGTCTGTGCTATATTCGGAGAGCGTGAATGTGCTCTTCACTGAAAATGACAATAGAGGATCGATAGGTTGAAACTGGAATGAACAAGGGCCAAATCGTGTAGATAGTTCAGGCACAGGATATTAGGAAGCTAAATAATACGGCAAATATTGGGTCATTCTCCATAATTTTTTAAATGAGCCTTACAAGTAGCACAGCTATGCGGGCGGTGCGTACATGGAACGTACTCCCCATCCGCACAGAATCCGAAACAGGCAATAAATATTCAAAAATACAGTTTTTACTTCTTCCTTTAAAAAAGAAAGTCTTGAAAAATCACAATTTAACACCTTTAAATTATTACATTTAATTTTTAATACCTTCTTCAACAATTCAATATTCACGCAAATTGAGAGTTTATATATCTATATCTATCTATCTATCTATCTTTTTTTTAACGAGGGGAACTGTGGAAATCTTCAAAAGACGAAGAGGAGCCCGCACTCCTCAACAGTGTGAGATTTTTACCCACTAAAACCACAAACCCTTTGTGTTCCTGGCGTTATCCACCCTGGAACCGCAGTTATGCATTACTTCAGGATGGTGCCAGCTGTATTTCTTCGAGATGCTATTCATAGTCAGCTATGACTATTTTTCGTCTTCTTCCTTCTTTTTGGGAATGGGAGTGATAGATTTCTCTATTGCTGTCCACTTTTCCTTGTTACAGATCATTATTGTAACTATGTTTTCTGGTGAGACGTTACACTCGACCTCCCATATCATGTGATGCCTTAGCGTGTCCCATCTCGGGCAATGGAACAGCGTATGTTCGGCGTCGTCCACTTCATGTTGCAGTAGAAAGGCCATACCGCGTCTTCTGTCTTGCTGAATCTTTAAGGTTGGCCCAGTGAATGCCTGAGCTTAAGTGAGTTATGTCACGGACCCGTGTTTGCCGGGCTTATCCATTTGGATATATTCGCGGATGAGCCTATGAGCCATCTGCCGGTCTCCTCTGTGTCCCAACGTTCCTGCCAGCGGTGTTGCATCACCGCTTTTCTTTCGCTTTATTTAATTTGCCGCTATCCTTATTCTTGTTGCATTCGCCTTCGTTGCCTTCTTGCTCGTGGGCAGTAGTTGTAAACTTCTTTCCTTTCTAGAGCCAAAGGCCAGTCAATAGGAGACGGTCGCCAGCAGAAGAACAGCACTTCCGGATACAGTTCTATACGCCGATGTTATGCGTAGGCTCCTTTCCCTCGTGGACAGACTGCCATTTTCCTTCTCAGATTATTTGCTTTGGAAGAGCGTCTGCCCAGATGGTGCTGCATAGAGCATTTTCGAGTGCCTCATCACACTCATTAAAATTCGTCTCGTCTTGTCGCTGGGCCCTTGGCCTGTCGGCCATCAATCTGGAATACCGTTGCGATGCTATCTTTAGTGCTTTTTGCCGTCTGTCTGCACTAATGTGTGGTCCAAAACTTAGCTTCGTCCTAAGGTCCATTCCTAAGTAGTGAAGTCTCTCTGCGCACCATTGTATTTTTTCCTGCCTTCATTCGGTAATGTTGGGGTTGGAGAGTCACGATCGTCTTTCGGTGATAAGCAATGCCTTCCGTTTTTTGGCTGCACCAATTCCAGCCCTTTGGACGTCAACCATCTCATCACTCTTTCTCAGGTGTCGGTTCACGCATGACCTCTAGTAGGCGCGATGTTTCCGCCGGTGTGCCACTATGTTATTGCACAGTCGCGAAGCCTCTATTGAGACATTTTGCGGGGAGTTTTATGCCCAGTAGACTGTCGTACATAATATTCCATAAAACAGGACCAAAGTTTGAACCTTGTGGGACACCACAGGTCATCTCAATTTCAATGGTTCTCGCTTCACCTGTCGTAGATGGTCTTTCGGTCGCTTAGTGAAGCTCCGTATCATAGCTGATGCGATGGTACTCTGGGTGTTCTTCTCTATCAGACCTTGATAATCTCCTCCCTTTGGCCGAGTTAATAAGGGCAGCTTGCAGAGTCTACTGTTCCTGATATCGAGCGTTACGAGGGCACCAGAATTCTTTTTTGTTCCCTCTTTGGCTTCTCTGGCCTTTTCTACGACTGTTTTGATAGCGTCGACTGTCGATCTACATTTTCGGAAAAGCCATATCTGGCGATTTCCGGACAGGCCGTGTGTTTCCTCTAGCCATTCATATCGTCTTTTGCCAAGAAATCAGACCCTCAAATACCCTTTCCCATCCGTCGTCTACGTTAGACATATTGGTCTGTTAGAGATGTGCCCGGCTCGTGTTGTGGTTGCTGCCTTATTTAAGAATAGAGCAATGGTCTGCTTTTTTCCATACCCACTCGGAAAAAACGTTTCCTTCAAGCACCTATTATAAGCTTTCAGAAGAAGTTGGCGGATGAACCTTTGCCACTGTCTTCAGAATTTCATTGTGTACCCCTCGCAGTCCTGGGCCCTTTTTGTTCTTAAGACTACTGCATAACTTTCTGTAGCTCTTCTGGGGAAAACATTTGGTCTTCATATTAAATTTTACAGGCTGGCATTGTTCAATTCGATCTGAGTTCTGATGCATTAAATCCAAGCTTCTTATGATTTGGATTACCCGATGTAGGATCATCCAATCCGGGGTGATTTCGCCTGCCAATTTAGTTTTTTTCGTGCACGATTTGTACGGGTTTGCCCCACGGGTCGTTGTCTATTTCCTTAATTAGCCGCCGTCCAGCCACGAGCGTTTTTGCTATTGTTGATGGCGCTGTTTTAGTTCCTGTCTGCGATTGTCGAAGCGCCTCTCTTAATGTCTGCGCATCCTTGGATCGCGTTGTAGTGAGCGTGCGTCGCTTTTTTTACATTTTTCTCTCCAGTCTGAGATTTTCGTCCGGTCCACCAGTACCACTTCTGGTTCCGAGTGGTAGTTTGGGTATTTGACCTCTTTGGCGATAGATCTGGTTGCACGCCCCGTTGTACTGTATTAATCGTATTCGATCCAGTAGTTCGTTTCTGGGCCTTTCTGTCCAGTTTGAATCGGTCCAGGGTCGCTTGTCGCCTTCCAGGAACCTCTTCTCGAGCCCTATCTGGTCTAGATATTTTCACGTTCCATGAGGGTTTCAGTTCTTTTCCGCGTACTTTTAATTCTCTGAGTTTACACATTTGTACTTGGCGAACTCTATATTTCAATTATAGGTCACTGAGCGTCTTCCAGAACCGTTCCAGTCGTTTGTATTTGTTCCCGCAGTTTTCCTGAGGACAAGTCCAGTCTGATGACTGATCTCGAGTTGTATCTCTCGTAGGTTGCTACTCCTCGTTGTTCAGCACCACGAGTTTCCTAGCTACCATGTCTGCTTGGACAAGAAGACCCCCTTCTGTCGCTTTTCAGTGACTCCCAGTTTCCGATGATTTCGCGTTGAAGTCCCCGCTTTAGGACTTCTCAGTAGCGGTCATGAATGTCATCTTCTAGGTTGTGCACTTCTGTTTCGAATGTAATGAAAGGGGTTCATTCGGTGAGAATAGCAGCTATAAATTCGAAGGGAACCCTACTTCGATCCATACAAAGCCCTTGTTCTTTTCTTCCACCCTTATTCTAATTTTCAAGATCTGGGTTGGCGATGTAGAGAGTGATTTGCCTGATAGATCCTGGTACCAGTTCCTGAGACTGGCTTCCTGTATTGTTCCGATATTATGGCTATATCGATTCTTTTTTCTTCTACCGATTGCAGGAGTAGGTCTTGTGCCTGCCTGCCTTTCCCTAGGTTTCTTTGCAGGAATTTTAGCTCCATTGTTTCTTTTGCTTAGTTAGCGCATTATGAAACGACAGACAAAATTTACTGCCCGGGCTATGTTGGTTGTTAACATTGCTGTCCTTGCAGGATAGGCAGGCAGTCTCCGTAGTACAGTCTTTTCTTTGATGGTCACCTCCACAGTTCCAACAGAGCTTTTTCCTGTCGGGGCCGCTGCACCGCTTGGCGACATGGCCATATGCGTGACACCTGTAGCATCTGTTTATCTATCTATCTATCTATCTATCTATCTATCTATCTATATATATATATATATATATATATATATATATATATATATATATATATATAAAAACAAACTTTCATGTCAAGACTAAATTATAAACGTGGTTAAGTCTTACCTACATTAGTCTTGAGGAAAAAGGTATCCCATAAAAATGTGGGTTCCATCAGGTAAATAAATTAATATATTTGTGTTTTGTAATCAATATTCATATCAAATGAAATATCCAGCCATTATTTTCAGCAATAATATAAAATAAATATTTTGATAACCGATGAAGATTCTCTTACGCAAGTCTCTTACGAAGAAACGCTTGAACGACACGACCTCGCTTCACACGATGATTTGGAAAGTGGGGAGTAGAGATCCAACGTCCTGGCTATATAACCTCTCCAACTGCACCGAGCCGTGTCAGTCGCCCACAACCGCTCTCGTCTCCCATCGCCCCTCGCCCTCGCCCGCCCCATGAGCCGAGGAGTGTTTGTGGAGCTGGCGCTGGCCGCCGTGATGGCCACGGCGCTCGCCGACGAGATGTACACCACCAAGTACGACAACGTGGACGTGCAGGAGATTCTGAGCAACCCGCGCCTCTACCAGAGCTACCTCAAGTGCCTGCTGGGCGACGGCGACGCCGCCTGCACCCCGGAGGGAAAGCAGCTGCGCAGTGAGTGCTTCGCCTACATGCTCACTTCTACTTTCAATTAAGTTACACAAGTAGTGAACACACAAAGCAGTGGTCATTCCTGAAAAATCTACAAGATATATAATGGTTTCATTTTTCGTTGAGTTTTTAGTAAGATTTCTTGTATTCCACAAACCTGTATTATGTAATGCAATAGAAATCTGCATAAAAACGTGATAGATTGTACTAGTGCAGGTTAGTATATTCTCAATATAGAAACTATCTCTACTGTACAGACAAAACACTGCAAGGAGAATGCGTGACGTCCGCTCCATGAAATAATGGTACTAATAGTCTGGTTAGTTTGCACGTACTCGCCTTCTGACGGCAAAATTCCCCCCCCCCCTTCTGGGATTCTTCCACCTTATGGTCTCTTTTCCGCAGCTTTGATGCGATGGAGAGCTTTAGGTGTGAATTCCAGAATTCGAAACCTTAGAACGAGGTAGGATAAAGTTATTGTAATAGCTTAAAGGCCTTAAGCCTAGTCACATAGTCACGCGTTATTTAATTTGTATATGTAATAATTACCTATTAATTAAATTAATAACTATGTGTTCAGATATTTACAACGATTCACTTGCGAAAAATGAGAGAAGTTTCTGTAGGTAAAACTTTCCTCTACTTAATTGAAATACTATCTCTGTTAAAGGCATAGAAATTATTTTTGTTTGATAAAACTTTGATTGGTATAATAGTTATTTTATAAGAAATCGTTGGGAAATGTCTACCACAATTAAATTTTTGTCATTCTAATTATGGTTACAGTAATAATGTACTTGTATTATTAAGTCATTCACAAAGTATTCAGTGTGGAAAATTGTGAAGAAAATACTACGAAAACGCATGCATATCTCTTGATTATGAATTGAGATACAAATTTGAAATTATCATTTCTAATTAAATTCTTAGTGTATCTCTTTCTACGCATAATTTGCCCTTTCCATGTGCAGGGGTGATTCCTGACGCGCTGAAGACGCGCTGCAGCAAGTGCAACGAGAAGCAGAAGGCGACGGTGAAGAGCGTCATCAACGGGCTGCGCGCGGACCACGCCGACGACTGGGCGCAGCTGCGCGCAAAGTGGGACCCCGACAACCAGTACTTCGACAAGTACCAGGACCTGCTCGAATAGGTACCCCTCGCATTCATTTCTGACTGACTGCAGCGCCTGGCGAATCATACTATATTCACTTTACTATACTTTACAATTGCTCATACATTGAATTGATATAGAATCTATGATATGAATTACGCTACCTGACACGGTTGTGCCATAAGTCTCATAATAAATCTTGTAAAATCTCCAGACATCAAAATAAATAGATTCTGAATAAAGAATGGTTTATTCGCATGCTGTTCTTCCCCTTTTCTTTCTTTTTACAATCGTGCCTTGCATAGAATTGAAATTTTCTTTTCACATCACAAAATAATTATATTTAACAGACTCCCAAAGGCGTAGGTAATACAATTTGTATTTGGTTTTACGTTTCCACAGCAAAAGAAAAGTATTGGATCCGACCCCGTCATGGCGAACGCACTTGTGTGTGTGTGGGGGGGGGGCGTAACTCAAACACATTAGAAATTTAAACACATTAAAATTATGATAGCAAAATATTTTAAAACGTTTTTAAACAAATGCTATTAGTAATTTGTTCACAAATTTTTGCTCAAATAGAGAAACATCGTCTTAGAAATATTGTGTAAGTGTGTGTGTATATATATATATATATATATATATATATATATATATATATATATAATCTTTGAATAACAAATTCATTTACCATCAATATGAAAAAGATATCGGATGAACGTACCATACGATATCGGCGGAAATTGCTACATTTCAACACGCAGTTTCAGAAACTGCAACCGAAAACTACAACATCCAAATGAAATTCCATTCGGTAAATTGTGGTTAATTACATTGTCGAACCAAATCCAATATGATTTCCGTGGCAAATTATGCCAATTTAACCAAATATTAAGAAATCTTGTATTAATTCTTCGCCTATAATTTGTATTACAATAGCTCAAGTAACGTGTGTAAAAAAAGAAATTTCCATATGGTATTCTATGAAAGGGAAACATGGGCAAAAATACATTTTTGTTTTTTATTCCCACATTATTCCACATAGTTTTTAACACGTTCTCGCAAAGGTTTGTGCCAATTAGGATTCTGGAAGACCTTTGATGTTAAATAGCATCGCAGCTGAGCATCAACATGTAAACGTGATGGACATCTGTGAAATTTATACGGGGAAGATTTGCTATTGGCAGTGGTTGCAAAATAATACGAGTAAAATTACAAATTATTTCAGAAGCTATAAATATTATTAATATAGAAAGAATGATAAGCAAACCTCCAATAGTAAATACTAAACTAAAAGTTTTGTTGTACGTAACGTTCCAGAAAAAAACCGTTTGTAAGCAATATCCTGTAACTTTCATTTTGTATGGTAAATATACTATTGGTTCAAAAACCTATTCAATGAAAATTTTCGAATTTCTTACAACGTTGTAATATACAAAGAAAATAATTTTAATGAAGAACTTTCTAATACTGCTTAGATTCATCAACAGGATTTAACTAAATTTTTCTGCATCTACTAATTAACGAATATTCATTTGTAAATGTATATGTAAGTATAATTAAAAAATTAAACAGTTCATACTATAAAAAATTTCAATACAAACATTTTTATTTAATAAAAACATTTTAGACAAAACTACAAAAGTCTATATAGTGTCATTGTTATACCTAAAGTTTCCCCTGCTTAAAAAATCATAAATTGTAAAAATTAATATAACAAGGTTTAAATCCGCCTACAACTTTCCTTAAGAACTCTCTTTCTTGATATTTTCATACCATACAAGATTTTCCGAACTTGATTGGGCTCGTACATTTTTTTTAATTGAACAATTTGTATTTAATTTTTTAAGGAAAATTAGTGCGTACAAAGTTTGATACTTTTACTTTAATAAATGTAAAATAAAACTATAAGGAATTAAATTTTGATACGGAAATCATAGATTTTATTCTATAGTTAACAACCTTTCTGATAACGTTTAGTGATCATGAAACATGTTTATTTTATAAAGGCTTCAGAATGCAATAATACCATTTACGATTTTACTTATTTTGCTTTATGCTCTGATAAGTGCTTATCTCAGTAAATAAATGCTTTTCAGTTCAAATTGATTGTTCATGACAGGATTCAAGAACAGAACTCAAAAGGTCAATTTCAACAAAAACTAACATAATTTTGTCAAAAAATCTAATGAATTAAACGAGAAATTTGAAAGGTAGGCAAAGGTTTTACTAAGGTGATTACTACCAGAAAGAATAAACTAAGAAACTATGAAGAATATATCTTACCCAACCTTTCAACAGGTACAAATCGAAATCTTGCCCGATTGCTTTCTGTTGAAAAATATTCACTATCTGTTTGTTCTGGGAAAAAATAGCTGCCGTTGCACACTGAAAGTTTTTGGAAAAAACTAGCAGGGCACTTAAGGCAGTGAGAACCACATAAAGCTGTGAGAACCAATGATTTCGGAAATAAATCTGTGAAAATTGGCACTGACTAAAGAAAGGTGACTGTTCGATCGTGAGGCGTCTTTGGGATCTCGCGAAGTATTTTGAAAATTCAGCGTTGCATAGACTCAAGGTTGTTTTGTACAATTCCCTCCGCTCAAACTCGGGAATGGCCTAGAGAGGTCAACTGAAGTATGCAAAGAGGTTAAATTAGTTAAGTGGTATCGTGTTATCCACGCAATTGGCTTGATCTTTTACATGCAAGTAAATCTACTAACATGGGCCAGCGGGCTTTACTTCCCCTCCGAAGGAAGGCGTACGAACGATTTTTTCGCCCTTAAAAATGCACTGCTTCGATCGGATTTGAACCCGCCGACTTGGGTATAACAGCCCGATACGCTAACCGTTACACCATCGCCGCCGCAAATTAGCGCCGTCGCTAATTAGAGGTCACCATTAGTTTTCCTCATCCGCAAATCTAGTTGGAAGTTTAATTTGAGTTTTGTTAACAAGTAAACAAACACATGAACTATATTCGTCGTCATTATTTCATTAGAAATGCAAACGATTACTCACTACTACACCTATAAACAAACACATTCAAACTTTCCCACTTTATTACATTTCTAGTGAAATAATGTAAGTATTGATCTGTTCTTAATGAGTAAAAAAAATAATCAAATATATATATAGTATATGTATATAGTTTATATATATATATATATATATATATATATATATATATATATATATATATATATAAACCGTCCTGGAAAAGGAACTATGTACACCCATTAAATATCCAATCAAAATAAATATATTCTTAAACAGCACAAAACCAAATACCCTTTGTACAATAACAAAGTTAATAGACAAAAATTGTTTGGGTTTTGTCTCCTTAAAAAATGACAAAAATAACTTATACAATTTCCACAACACACACAATTAATTAAGAAATTGCGGATCGCTATTGTCCGGGACCAAGTGCAGATAAACTTTCCTTAATGGGGCGCTATGTTACAGCCTCAGGATGTTGAGTTTACCTGGGTCTTCTCGGACATCTTTGTAGGGATTTTTTCACTTCCGGAGTTCCTTATCATTGG